GCACTTTCTCTCTCACACACACACACTCACACACTCACATACTCGCACTCAAACACACTCTCTCTCAGACACACTCACATATACACTCACTCTCATGCACACACACACACACTCACACTCACACACACACATTCACACACACACTCACACACACAGACACACATAGACACACACACACACACTCACAAACACACACACACACTCACACACATGTACACACACTCACACACACCCACACAACACACACAAACACGTGCACACACACACACTCACAAACATGCACACTCACACCCACACAACACACACAAACACGTGCACACACATACACACTCACAAACATGCACACTCACACACACAACACACACAAACACATGCACACACACACACACACAAACACTGACTAACGCTCTGACATTCCAGTCTAAACCATTTATAAAAACTAGAAACTGATCCCAGTGGAGCCCTCTGCCTCCCGCCACTCCATCATTTCTGGATACAATTCGACAAGTTTCTGAGGATCCCATGGGATCTTTGTTATCAGATGCCCATGTCCCACGAATGAACTTTTAAAAAATGCGGGACCTTATCAGTGGTGAAGTGAGTAATCTTTTCCCTGTGTGGGGTCTGCATTTTCTGAAAAACTTTTTAAATCTGTGCCGTCTCTACTTTCTGATAATTCCTGCCGATGGGAACAGTTTCACTCTCCCTGCCTACTCCCCCTCATGGCCCACTCCTACTATGAGGAGATCTGTCCCAACTCATCAACTCGATCCTGGGATTCATGCTTGTCAATCCTTTCTGCACGCTCTCTGCTCCTGACCAAAGTACCGTGATCCCAATCGGATACGAAGCTCCATTCCAGGCTCCCACAACGATTTATATGGGATTCCCTGTCGCCTTCTTGTATTTGAACCCTGTGTCTCCTTCTGCAGGGAGACAGCTGAGAATCTTCTTAATAGCCATGTCATTGAGGACTGTGCTTATTTTCCAGTGGAGCGGTGGGCAGTGTCCCTGCCTCTAATCCAGGTGCCCGGGGTTCAAATTCCAGTGTCCTCCTTTATTTTTAATGCCGATCACCCCTCTTGGTTTGATCTCAGGAAGAAAAACACATTTTTGACTATCCTCCCCTGCTATTAACACATACTTCGCTCTCTATCGCTCTTCTACTCCCATTAACACGCCCTTTGTCCACTGTTCTGGGCACCCTCACTGATGCTCACTGAAGGAAAGGCAGTAAATCATCAGCCAGAGCTGAGAAATGTGGAAGTGAAGGTCGCCACAGCAATGCAGAGATTACAGAGGTGGTCGGAGGTGGTGATTGTGGGGAAGGATAGATCCCTGGTCCAGGTCAGAGTGCTGCTGGCAACATGGGTTTGCCCTCCAAATTCGGGCTAACTGATTGAAAGATTGGATTTGATTTTGATTTTGATTTTGATTTTGATTTTGATTTTGATTTTGATTTTGATTTGTTTCAATTCAATTTGATTTGATTTTGATTTGATCTGATTTGATTTGATTCAATTTGATTTTATTTGATTTGAGTTGATTTTGATTTTGATTTGATTTAGTTTAATTTGATTTTGATTTGATTTGATTTTGTTTTGTTTCAATTCAAAGTGTTTTGATTTTGATTTGATCTGATTTGATTTGATTCAATTTGATTTGGTATTGATTTGATTTGATTTATTAATATCACATGTACTAAAATACAGTGAAAAATGTTGTTTTGCGTGCTAACCAGACAAATCCTACTTTACATAAGTACATCAGGGTAATAGAACTGAATGCAGAATACAGTGTTACAGCAAGAGAGAAGGGGCAGAGAAAGATCAACTAATATATGAGAGGTCTGTTCAAAAGTCTAATAATGGGATCGGTGCTGGGTCCACTGTTGTTTGTCATTTATATAAACAATTTGGATAAGAATGTAGGAGGCATGCTTAGTAAGTTTGTGCATGACACCAAAACTGGTGGCATAGTGGACAGTGAAGAAGATTATCTAAGATTACAAAGAGATCTTGATCAATTGGGTCAATGGGCTGAGGGATGGCAAATGGAGTTTAATTTGGATAAATGTGAGGTATTGCATTTTGGCAAAACAAACAAGGGCAGGGCATATACAATTAATGGTAGGGCCCTGTGTAGCGTTGTAGAACAGAGAGACCTAGTGGTTCAGATATATAATTCTTTGGAATTTGCATCACAGGTAGACAGGGTGGTCAAGAAGGCGTTTAGCACGCTTGCCTTCATTGCTCAGACCTTTGAGTATCGGAGTTGGGACATCATGTTGAGGTTGTACAGGACATTGGTGAGGTCTCTTCTGGAGCACCGTGTCCAGTTCTGGACGCCCTGTTGTAGGACGGATATTATTAAGCTGGAGAGGGTTCAGACAAGGTTTACCAGGATGTTGCTGGGAATGGAGGGTTGGAGTTATAAGGAGAGGCTGGGGCTTTTTTCACTGGAACGTAGGAGGCTGAGAGGTGACCTTATAAAGGTTTATAAAATCATGAGAGGTATCGATAAGGTTAATAGACAGTATTTTTTTCACATTAGGATGGGGATTTGAAGACTGGGGGCATATTTTTAAGGTGGGCGGAGAGAGATTTTAATAAAAGATATGAGGGGCAATTTTTTTACACAGAGAGTGGTTCACGTGTGGAATGAACTTTGTGAGGAAACGGTGGATGTGGGTACAGTTACAACATTTCAAAGACATTTGGATAAGTACATGAATAGGAAAGGTTTGGAGGGATATGGGCCAGGAGCAGGCAGGTGGGACTCGCTTAGTTTGGACTGGTTGGAGCGAAGGGTGCGTTTCTGCACTGTATGACTCTAGAAGGCTTTTGCCTCGGGTGAGGGAGTTCAAAACTAAGTGGCATATTCTTAAGGTGAGAGGAGAAAGATTTAAAAAGGACCTTTTG